GAAAGAATGATCGATTATGTTTATAAGGTGCACATAGTTCAATTCTTCTCACATTTTTAGGTAACTAAGATTTAAATAGATAGTTAAGTCAGGTAGACAACGTTCACCAAATTTATCAAGCAAAAACGGTTTAGCTGTAATAATAGTTTTTAAGTTAGAATCCATACTTTACTTTCATCGTTAACAATTCACTTTTACAACTAGTACCTAATGAATTTTTATATAAGCCGATCGCTCGTATGTGGATAAGTTTAAATATAAGAAAGTTTAATATTAAGATAGTTTAATAATGTTTAAATACCAGGATAAATTTTAGCACGCCCTTCGTCACGTCTAGTAATTTTTCACTCAGTCCACCTTTTATACTTTACGTCTATTGTTTCTTTGATGTTTGTTTTTTTTTGTTTCTTCACTAGGTTCATATTCGTCCGGGTCGCTGTTGACGTGGGATGTTCAGCACCGTTACTATCGAGGTGCATCGGGTCCGACGGGCTATTCGACGTAGCGCAACCAACACTCCGGAGTGCGGTCTTGGTCATATCGATGCGCATTACTACCGACGCCTACGTCGAGCACGGCGATCTTCACGGCTGGGCGTTCGTATATAGCACCGGAAGTCTGCACAGTAGCGCTTCGCACCTGTCCGTCCAATCCCTGCTTGATCCCGGTAACTCGACCTTCAGGCCAAGTGTTCCGGGGAAGTTTCGTGTCTACGATTACAACGATGTCGTTGATTCTGATGGGCTTCACCTCCGTAAACCATTTCGTCCTACGAGTGATGGAAGGAAGATAGTCTCGTAGCCACTGTTTCCAGAATTTGTTGGCCAAGGTTTGAGAAAGTTCCCAGCAATTCTTGAGTACTTCTGAGCTGTCGTCAAAAGGTACCCAAGGTCTCAACCCGTAATCCCAGTAAAAAATGGTTGGGAGTTAACACTGATGACTGGTTATCGTACGAGTCGCTCCCACACTCCACCCATGTGTTGTGATGCGGAAGGAATGAACTTCCAGGAAGTATGTGAGGAGGTGGACTCCGCTGCAAGCCGCTCTCGATCTAAATTTGCCATAGCTTCTTCGAGTTCTTTACTAGCCCCCTGGAAGTTTGTACCTCTGTCACTATATATGACTGCTGGTAAACCTCTCCTAGCGATGACGTTTCTTAGTGCCATAATACATGAATCGGTAGTAATGATGTGAACGATTTCCAAGTGGATGGCGCGAGTGGTAAGACAAGTGGCGAGAAGTACCCAACGCTTCTCGAGACGGCGTCCAAGGATGATCATAAATGGACCAAAGTAGTCCACCCCCATACAAGTAAACGGACGAGCGAAGGCACCCAGACAAGGCAGTGGCAAGTCGCTCTTGACCAGTTGTTGTGGTGCATTGCTGACAGCATCGACGAATACTGTTGTAGGCAGCCTTTAGACGAGGGATGCTGTATCGCTGCCGCAACTCGTTGATCACTGTGTTGTGGTTCTGATGATGATACTTGCTATGGTAATGTGATCTCGTGGAAGGATGACGCGATTCACCGTATCCTGCTGAACAAATGGACAAGCGCTGGGCCTACCACGAACACGGAGTACATCGTGCTCATCTAAGAACGGACAAAGGTGATATATTGGACTGCTTCTGGGTATAGTCTTCGTGGAGTGTTTGGACGCTCGTATATCCGAAAGCATCGCTATCTCATCTGCGTAAGCACTACATTGAGCAAACCGGAACAGATAGTTTTCAGCCATATCTAGCTCTGAATCCACCAACGCTCCAAAAGTTCTTTCCTTGGGTCTGGATGTCCTCACGTTCCCGATGAATCGAAAAACGTATGCAGTTCGACGTAGAAGTGGAGTCCATTTAGAACAGAATTGAGGGTCAATAATTGGCTCCCGAAATTGGATGTGAAAGAGTGAATTTGGACGTAGTTCCTCCGTGGATGCGCTATCGGTGTGTAGTTCCATGGGCCAATCTTGTTCATGGTTCTTGAGAAACGCCGGATCATTAAACCATCGACTAGTTCTACTGATGTCTGGCGCCCGTTTTCACTTAGTTCCATCATCCATTTTTTTTGCGTCTCAAAGAAAAGTGCTGTATTCCAATATTTGCATCAACAGTTCTGAAACTTTTGCAAATGGTGGATAAAATATTCAAGGTTTTTTTGTGAAGTTTTGAATATGATTGGCTGAGTTTGTATGAATTTTATGCACTTTTAGTAAGTCAATTATTATGAGACTGTATTATATTATTCTAAATGTTATTTATTGCAGTACAATGAACCAAATGAGCTTAAATTTTTATCGTGTCTAGTTAAAACATAAGTCTTTAAACATCGGTTCAAAATTTACTAATATCTATCACAAAGAAAACAATTAAAATCCAAAAATTATAGTAACAAAATTTTAGATTGAAAGATGGGGACTATAATGAGTGTTTTGGCAACAGAGAAGATGAAACTGTTGGGGGCAAAAAAAACCAAAACGTTTAAAAATAAAATCAAGCTGATGTTACTTTTTTTTTCGTAGTTATTAGATTTCAGTTAACTTCGCACCACTTTAAACAATTATGTTTTGGCTACAAATAAAAAAGGAACAGTTCTTTTTTGTCCATTGTACTTCAAGAAATAATAATTTGAAGAATGAAGGTCAAATAAGACTTGTGATCACGCACGATAGGACCCGATTTTCTACGTTGTGTTATAAAGATTAAAATACGATGATGATTTGGGCCGTCCTGCCATGGCGGAGGCAGATAATACTGTGTTTGTTTATTTATTGTATATAGGACATGATATCAATAACATTGCAATCTGGACAAATGACAGTAACCTACATAATTGAAAGATTACATCTATTGGTAAGAGTATTAACTATTCTATAGTTCAGGGTAAAGCCGGTAAATGTCGCTTGCACGAACAACTTGTTTTACTAAAATTTCTCAAACTTCATACAAACTCAACCGTTCAAGCTCAAAAGTATACCGATAATAGATGAACCAGCCGATGGCTGAAAGTCTCTTTAATAAAGAAAGATAAGGTATTCCGATAAATTTTGAATATTTTATCCATCAGCAGACACAATTCCAGAAATATTGATGAACATACTTACAGCTCTTTGAACAGACGACAAATTCATGGTATACACTGTATTATGTCCAGTACTGTAAGAGTTAAATCTTTAAACTTAAACCAATTCGAATCAATTAAGACGACAACTCCAAACTACAGCTTTGAAGTATTAAAGAATATGACACAACACAACATGGTCCAACACCAGACAATCAGACTTAACTTTTTGAATATTGTTTTTCTTGAAAACATAGTATCTCAAAACATAGGACTTCAGTAACGACATCTCTCGGGTTTCACGCGGAAAACAAGCTTGCTCGCTAAGTCGCAAACTACATTGAACTGAATTTATTAAAACGTCAAAGTGATTCGGGGAGTAGTTCACGGCAATGATAATATTCAAATCAATCGTTCATTACTTGAACGAAGATCCAAATTGAAAAGCTCCGTCTACTTGTATGTTGTCCAACTATACGGCAATAATCGAATTAAATGCTCATAAATTGTCGCAACACTTTCTTCTTGCGCCTCTGTTGGTTCGCTCCGACCAATTCATTTAAAACGCTTCTCTGTTGGCTAACAAGATTTATTTTAATTTCTCACATCACGTGCCTACATGTCACATGTCGCCCATCGTGAACAACATTCGAAGGACTTGGACTACTCTGCTACCACACTTTGTTGAAGAATAGCAGGAGACGACTGCGACTGGCAGCATCTCCACTAGCGGCAGCAGTAGCATCGAGCTGAACTCGGTAACCGATACCCCCTGGGTTGTCCCGCGTGCGTAATCGAATCCAATTCAGCTGGTCGATGCGGGACAAGCGGGCCTACAAGAAAAACTTCGTTCCATGCGAGCTTGATATTGAATTTTATGCTTCGAGCATTTCACTTTCTGCTGCTGCTGCTACTCTTCACAGCTCACGAGCACGCATATTTATTTATGACACAGATATAGCAGTTTTTCCAGCTTTGCTTGCACGGATTACTCCCAAGCGCGATCGATACTTGTAAAAAGAAGAGACAGAGGAAACTCCAGCCGACGACGACGACGGCAGAGGTGCACTTTATGGTGAAATGCAATTAATGTAATTTGCATCGGCGGGCACGGACCCAAACATACAATTCCTATTTAATTGGATTTATTGAATGATTTCACCAAATCAATTTCAATACCGTTCGTCGTCGCGTCGTTGTCGTTACTGTTTTTACTTTGGGATTGACCGTGATCATGAGGGGTGGTTCGGATGTATCGGGGTTTGTTTTTCAATTTACGGTCATTTTAAGCAGCGGGAAAGAACATTCAGCACTGTTCTTTCAAAAAATAAATTGCAAGTAATGTTCGGATGAATCACGAACCTGGCTCAATCTTCATGCCTCTGGCTAAAACTTTCTTTAAAGTATTTTGCGAAAAATCTGACCAAACCCATCATTTTCATTTATACTCAAACTGTCAGAGATTCTTGGTTTATTTGAAAACCAAACGTATTTAATGTTACACATAATCACAGCGAGTACCAACTCCCCATCCCAAACAAACCGAAAGCAGCTTATAGCTAATCCCTCCTTGCATGCACAAAGACAATTTCCTCCACATTCATTCCGATCATTTATGGCATTGTTTGATATAGAAAACGAAACTCCCGGTCCCGGTCTCGAGCCGGAGATGTTCCCTGGGGCTCTTCGAAAACGAAACACAAAAGATTCCAATCAACGATAGCGAAATTAATCTTCTAAACTCCCCCGCATGCGGGAATTGGATCCAACTCTTGGAGCAGGCTGGGGCAGTCGCAGTACTTCCAACCCCAAGCAAATTTGCCCGTTTCTAAGCCCGGTTTCGATCCTCGGTATCTATTCTCACCGATCTAGGTTCGTTCTCCCCTAAAACAGCCCGCGCGCGACTTATAAAGCAAAAGTGAAACATCGAAAACGGCAGACTTACCTCTGATCCCTGCGCAACGAGACCGCCAGCGGCGCCACTTTCATTCACGGAATCTAATGGATCATCATCCTGGGATTGGACCCCCGGTTCGGGTGGTGTCGTCGTCGTCGTCCCAGCACTATTCTCATGACCCAATTGCAGTTGCAACTTTTGCTTCTGCTCGTCGCTTTCCAGTTGCTCCTTGAGCCGAGCGGACGCAAACGTCGAGTACGGTTCTCGGTTATCTTCCGGTCGGATCTCGCACAGCTGATCATCCAGATACCAATTGGCCGTGGGGATCTGAACTGCCGGTGGTTGCTGAAGCTGCTGCTGCTGTTGATGTTGAACCACCGCTTCGTGATGTGTGATTGGACATGTGTCCTCGCTCGATTGGCTCCCGATTAGGGCTTCCTTGCACCTTTTTAGGTAGCTTTTCATCTTGGAGCGGCTCTTGCGTACCTCCCCGCGACTTAGCGTTCCACAGTGGGAATAGTGATGATGATGATGATGCTGGTGATGATCGCTTTCACCGCTTTCGATTACTAGAATATCGTCCAAGCCTCCCCCGCAACTGACAGCGTTCCCAGCGGTGATGCTCGAGCTGGGGTCAGATTCTATCGATCGATGACCGTGACGGCCCGAGGAAAGCGCTACTGACGATACGGCCGAAATATTCGAGGGAAGGTTCAATGATTCGTCGTCGTGCTGGTTTTTCCACGCGTTATCGTCGAAGGACTTGGCGCGACGAGCCGTGGGAGTCACCTAAGCGAGGGGAGAAATGTAATGAAATTTGCATTAGTTTGCATGTTCGAAAGATTTAGGAAAATTTACAATTCTATCCAAACCAATGACAACAAATACATCAAACCGAAATATCGATTCTTGCACTCTCTTATGGGTTTCATATTTTATAGTACATAGTGGGACATGGTGTTAAAAGTGCCACATGGGTAATATGACCAACATCACTTCTTCAGGGACTTTCAAAAATAAATTCAATGGTTTTTCGTCCAGAATTGCAGCATGGTGTAATTTTCATATGAAGTATTGTTTGAAAAGTACGAGAGGCTATTAGCCTGCTGGCATGTATTATACTTTGATTTGAAATCCATATAATACTGAGGCATTAGATGTGGAGGTGCGACGTTTCGCATAATGGACGTTTGGCATAATGTTGGCCTAAGGATCTAAGATTGGGCCCATCGCTAAAAAGCTGCTATTTATCAATTTTATCTAGATGAACGCGTCATTGGTACGATACTAATTGATATTTTTTGGATGCTATTGAAAATTTAGTCGATTGCTGAATTTATGTATGGGCCCAAATTAGGAGCATTTAGGCCGACATAACATCCATTTCCTCTAAATGCCAAATCATCGCAGGCTACACCCCTAATTGTGAAATTCTATCATCATCTAATTCCTACTCGTCTTGTTAACATTTGAGGTTTTGACAATCGGGGTAATGCTGAACAAACATTTTAAAGAGATAAAGAAATCGTGAATCTCCCGCACCAAATGCTTTCATGTAAGGTTTAGCATTATAGGGGAAATGGATGAATGTCTGCCTAAATGCTCCTAATTTGGGCCCATACATAAATTCAGCAATCGACTAAATTTTCAATAGCGACCAGAAATATCCATTAGTACCGTCTCAATGACGCGTTCATCTAGATAAAATGGATGAATAGCAGATTTTTGCGATGAGCCCAATCTTAGATCCATAGGCCAACATTAGAGCCATTTCCCCTATAATAGTATTCATATGGAGCTTTTCCAGCCCAAAACGCAAACCGGTTGGACATGAGTGTTTTTTTTATTTTTTCCTTGATTTGTTTCTGTCGATCTTGTTTTCCGTGCTGAGCACCAATGCAACCGACGCCAGGGACGCTATCTATCGACTCATCAGCTCATTAACCGGGGACCAACGGCTTTACTTCCCTTCCGAAGGAAGTCGTGATCAGAGATGTTATGCCTCAGAACATCCCGACGGCGCCGACTGGGATTGAACCCAGGCCTGCTGGGGTGAGAGGTAATCACGCTTACTACTACACCACTGGCGCCGCTACACATGAGTGTTTCCGATTTGAATGAAACATTACTCACCAATTGCTGCAATTTTCATTTGAATATGATATTTTCTTCATAGTAACTATTAAAAAGGGCGTATTAAGAAATGGATTGCATTTTTTTCAAAAAATCATGGCATGCAAAATATTGATCTGAATAAAATGAAGTCTGAGAAAAAGTTGTAGGTTGTTAAATTGTCTTTGAGAAAAAAAAATGCATTGAGCAAAAAACCTAGTAAATAAATATTTAAAAAAAATCGTAAACGTTGATTATCTTAGAACAACCCCCTTTCGAATTTTATAAATAATGTTTTAAAGAAAACTGAAGGAATGCTATAAAATTTGGTGAAAAGTGTGAATTAAATTATTGATTCAATTTAATCCTTCTATTACTCCTGGGAATCAAAAATGAAAAGGAGCTTTCGAAAAATTTGCTGAAATAAACTTTTTTCCTAAATCCAGCCGTTCTCAAGTTAATGTGATTTATTAATTAAAGTAATAATAATTTTCAACATTTAAGAGTATTTCCAAATGTTAAGCATGATGTCCAGCAACGAGATGTTTTTTTCATGGTTGTATATTAAAAAACAAACAATTCATTTTCAGATATGGTAGCTGTTAGACTTCCTCGATTCTGTTTAGACGCAGTGGAAGAGAAACAAGTTTATAAGTAAATACAATCAAGATTTCTATAGTACGGTTAATAGGGACCGCACAATAGGAACCGGCATTAACGAATACACGTAGCATATGGGATGAACACTTATTGTAGGGTAATTTGAAGAGATAACTTCCTGGTGTTTTCTGAAATGTTTTTAACAAGATAGATGACCTCCTTTTGGAACAATTTTCCATCCGGAAAGTCAGGAGTATGGTCCTCAATACGTTTTATCACATTTAAATTTGGAGTTGTGACCAGAAAATTTATACTGAGGACCACGGGATGGTCTACTAAAAGATCCGGAATATCCGTAAAAGTGGTCAATTTATGAAACTGACCCTAGAGCTCCGTGTTTTTTTAGAAATCACTCACAGACATCTTAGCAGAATGAATTCGGAGTTATGATCGGAATGTGGACACTAAGGGCTACGGGATGGTCCTCTAGAATATTCGGAACGTCTGTAAAAGTGTTCACTTAATTAAACTGATCCTCGTGCTCCACATTTCCGGAGAATTTTGAGATTAGGACGTAATTGCTTTTGTAAACAAACACAATCGCCGATAAGCTCATCTATAACAGTAAAGGCAACGAAAGGCTGTCCTCAAGGAGGAGTCCTCTCACCACTAATGTGGTCTTTAGTTGTAGATGATCTTCTAAGAAGCCAAGAGGCGAAAGATTTCGAAGTTGTGAGCTTTGCGGATGATATAGTTATCGTAGTTAGAGGAAAGTTTGACGCTATCATTTCAGAAAGAATGCAACAGGCTCTAAAGTTTACCCAATCTTGGTGTATTAAGGAGGGCCTAAACATTAATCCGTCAAAAGTAGTAATCGTTCCTTTTACTAGAAAGAGGAAGTTCAACCTAAAGGAGTTCAAGCTTGGAGGAGAACAGATCCATCTTAGTGAACAGGTCAAATACCTAGGAGTTATATTGGATGCCAAGTTGAATTGGAATGCTCAGATTGATTCTGTGATCAACAAAGCAACCAGTGCCCTGTGGTTATGCTTCAAAACTGTTGGTAGAAAATGGGGTTTGAAACCAAAAATGACAATGTGGATTTACACATCAGTAATCCGTCCAAAACTAACTTATGCTTCGTTAGTATGGTGGCCAAAAACGAAAGAGGCTACCGCACAGAGGAAGCTAGCAAAACTACAACGTCTAGCATGTATTGCTATAACGGGTGCGATGCGCAGCACCCCATCAAAAGCGTTAGATGCAATTCTCAATCTACTGCCCTTGCATGAATAATTATTAAGAGATGAACTAGCCTAAGGCTAAAAATCTCTAAAATAAAGAAAAAAAGACCTTGCATGAATACGTGCAACTAGAAGCGGAAAGAAGTGCTCTAAGGCTCAAAAGGTCTAAAAAAGTCATGCCTGGTGACCTGGTTGATCACCTAAGCATTTTACAATACTTCCAAAGAGGACCAGTGATGTGAAATATTGCGTTCGGATTGAGAAGTCGGTGGTCCTAGCGTTCGTCAAGGCTAAATCATATTTTTCACAGATGGTTCAAAATTTGGAACACAAACAGGTGCATGAATCTTTGGCCCTGGTTATTTCAGTAGCGATGGGACATTGTCCAACAGTGTTTCAAGCGGAAATGTGTAAGTGTTTGCCTAAGGAGAAAATATAGATGTACAAATATATATATTTTTCTGACAGTCAAGCAGCACTAAAAGCGCTTCGTGCTTACAAATGTACAGCAAAGATTGTCTGGGAATGTATTCTCTTGTTGCGACAGCTGTGCAAACAGAACTCAGTAAACTTATATTGGGTTCCTGGACACTGTGGCATTGAAGGGAATGAAAGGGCAGACGATCTCGCAAAATTAGGTTCCAATTCACCGTTTATTGGCCCAGAACCATACTGTGGAATATCAAACTGTACGGTAAAAATGGAACTCAAACGCTGGGAAGAACAAAGGGTGATGGCCAACTGGATGGCCGTCACGAAGTGCAACCAGTCGAAAATATTTATAGCTCCAAATGTAACACATACCAAAAAGCTCTTGGAGCTCAATAAACGGGCTCTTAGTATATACACTGGCCTAGTAACTGGGCACTGTCCGAGTAGATATCATTTGAAGAACATTGGTCGTGTTCAGAGCGATATCTGCCGTTTCTGTAGCATAGAACGTTGAAACCTCGGAACATCTGCTCTGCAGTTGCGGTGCATTACACAGGCGTAGATCTAAATTTCTTCGTAGTGTTGTGTTACAACCTAGTGGAATTTGGTCTGCTAATCCTGGAAAGGTAGTTGGTTTCATAAACCATATCATACCTGACTGTGAAAGAACGTGTCCACTCATTAAATGGTGGTCAGCTTGCATGATACGAATAGTAAACAGAGGTACCACAAAAATTCAAATAACGGACGCAGTGGTTCAACTCCCTCAACAAAAAAAAAAGTCGATTTCTCACAAACTAAAGCTCAATCCAAAAAAAATAATGGCACAAACAGGTAGATAAATGATTCTTCCATCATTTGGTATGGTTTGTTTGCGAGATTGAGTTTCAATTTACGAGAAATCAGCGATAGACGTGTTTGTTTACAAAAGCAATTACACTCAAATATCAAAGTTCTCCAGATTTGTTTTGTAACCACTCATAAATACGTTATCAGAATGGATTCAGGGTTGTGACCGGATTATGGACACTGGGAGCTACGGGATGGTCCACTAGAAGATCCGGAACATCCGTAAAAGTGGTCAATGCATGAAACTGATCCTAAAGCTTCGCGTATTTTTATAAATTAAACTCAGACGTCTACTCAGCATGAATTCGAAGTTGTGACCTGAATATAGACCCTGGTGACCACGAGCTGGTCCTCCGGAAGATTTGGAACATCCATAAATGTGGTAAATTCATAAAACTGATCCTAGTGCTCTTATGATTTTTCGAAATCACGTATAGATGTCTCATCAGAATAAAATGGGAGTTGTGACCGGAAAATGGACCCTTGGGACCACAAGATAGTTCACCAGGAAGATTCAGAGCATCCATAAAAGTGTTCAGTTCTTGAAACTGA